TTTTCGTATGGCTAGGCTTATTATTTATGCCTATGTTTTCTATATATATTATTATATCATCACGATGAGGTTACTTTGTCAGTTATTACTTGCTTGTTACTTTTAGGTTCAATGTGTGGCTTTAATCTATCGATTGATACTGTTGACTCTATCTCATTATTCATTTTAATAAAAAAAATATTTGTCAGTACAATTTAGCATTTGGAAAGGACACGTGTAAGGAGCTTTCAGAGGTATGCCTGCTCTGTCTACGCCTAACCATACACTTTTACTTATCTTAAATAATGCTAGGAAGGTGTTGACGTGATTTATTTACGGAGCTATAATTTTGTCTGTGGTATATGAGGAGTGTAAGGCACGTTGTAACTCCTTAGCAAAATTCTATTTATCAATATTATCATTACTATCATCGACTAGCAACCAATGAATAATTATATGCGTTCCTGCAACTGTAAGGAAGGGTGGAATATTGGAAGAATTAGGTACAGAGCTTATACCCATTAGTATTATTGGAAGGGCGTTCAACCGTCATTCCTTTCTAGCTATTAATACTGTCTTGATTTTTCTATGTGTAAGTTTGATCATTACGTTCGTTCGCAGATGGTAACTAGTCTCGTGCATTCTATAGACGCTAACTATTGAGGCGAACTCTTAAAACAATTCGCTCTCAACCTGAGAGCTATGATTGGTTATCACGTGAGGTGTACACCCCAACAACTGAGTCACGCGTGAACGAATGCATTGGCAACAGATCGTGCTGTTTTATCCGACAATGATTCTGCTTCAATCCACTCAATACAGGTTAACACGTATTTGGAAGGAGTATTACATGTTTCATAACGTCGCTTAGTAACTGGGAGGGGGCCAAATTTTGAATTTTGCTTTTCTTTCCAGTTTTGACAATCATTACACATTTCTTTTTTGTGTGTTGTCCATATGAGGCCAAAATAATCTTGTTTTGATGGGATCACACGAAGTTTTAATTTCTGTGTGTGATATTGTGTGATTACTATCAAAATTAGATTTTCGTTATTTACCAGGTATATGGTGTCTGGGAACATATGTAAATATTACTATCAGTACTAAAACTATATTTTTCTGGACATTTTTTTTAATTCAGGGTCCTTAAGTTTTGCAGCTAGGGCTGACAAGTCAAAGGGATCTACCATGAATCCCAGTGTAGGTCTATATAAGCAAACAAGTTGTAACAATTTGATCTCCATTTATGTGGCCTGTATCTGATATATATGCTGCGAGAATTGCTAACTGCTGCCGCTGTCTATCTGATTTACCAGACTTTAGACTACGGAATGCGCCCCACAAAGGCTTATGGTCAGTTAATAATGAAATTTCTTTTCCTTTGATAATATGTTTAAAATACACCGTAGCTGAATATGCTGCAAAAGTTCCTTTATCGAAAGTCGAATTCCTAGTTTGATTTCACTTTTTAGAGAAGCTAATTGGAATTGTTACTCCTTCTACTCTTTCATATAGTTCTCAACCAATTGCATAATTAGTAATCAACTGATATTCAGAAAACTTAGATCGTTGGAGAGATAAAGACAGAAATTCACTGATTCTGATTTTAATATCGTCAAATAATTACAATTCCATGTCATTTAATGCAAATGTAGTATTACTGCATATACGTATTTTTCTGTTAATGGCATGATTATGTCTGCAATGTTTGGGATTAATTTTCTATAAAAATTTACCATGCCTGAGAAACGACAAAGATTCTTACTGTCCTTACGAGGGGAAAATTATGTAATGCACAAAACATTGCGTGTCGGTCTTTGTGTAGCTAATATTATAACCCCCAAAATTGACTGAAGTCACATCAAATGTTGACTTTGCGATAGAAACTTTAGATAATTATCATGTAGGATTTCTATAATAATTTAACCGTCTTTTCTGTGTCATGAAGAATCATAACTAAAAGTAAGAATATCGTCAATGTATATAAATGTACAGTCAACATGTGGAAAAGTCTTGTCCATGAATCTTTGAAAAGGGTGTACTGCATTCTATAGTCTAAACGGCATGTATTTGTATTCATGCAATCCGAGAAGTGCTATTTTTTATTTATGTCATCCGGGTGCATTTTGATTTGATAGTAAGCTGATACCAAATTGATTTTGCTAAAACTTGTTTTGTTGGCTAGTTTATCAAGAATTGAATTGGATGGGGTATTTATCGCTTTTTGTAATGCTGTTTAATACGCAGTAATCACCGCATCATCTGGAATTGACATCTGGCTTATTAATAACGTCAAGGTGGGTGGCTAGACTCTTCACTATCATAAGGTGTAAGGACACTATTGTTTTGCAATTTTGAAAATTCCGACTTTTCTGCCTGGATTATCTCTAAAATCATTCCAATTCCATATTACTCTTTTTTTAAAAGAAGATAGACAAATGGGGCCCTTAACTTATGCATATTGTGTACATAAATTTGATAGTTATTAGCCAGTCCTAAAAAAGCTTTAATTTAGTCACGTTTGTTGGTGTACGCAAATTTTTAATTAAAGTTGCCCTCGATGGATCTGGTTGCCTACCATTTTTATCAATAATTTGACCAAGCTATTTAATTTTCTGCGCAAAAATTCACATTTTAAGCTTGAATCAATATTCTCTGTATTTCCAAAATTGTTTTCACATGCCCAACATGCTGATCTTTCGATACCATTTTGTTCAAAATGTCTTCCAGATACGCCATTGCGAAGTCGCAGTCAGCAAGCATGGTGTCCATGCGTAGTTGAAAATAGCTGGTGCCACCTTTATACTAAAAAGGAAGTTGCTTAACCTTATATAATCTTATGTGTATATTTATGGTTGTTAATTCATAACATTTATTTTTAATCTGAATTTCTAAATATGCCTTCAGATTTGAAAATTCTTTCGCCGTTCAACTTTGAAAAAATTATTCTGAACTTTGTAGTATATGCAGTTTTTTCTTTTATTAGCTTATTATTTTGTAGATTTTAATTTGAATGCTGTCTGTGTGTGGAGCATTTTGATCAGAATGTTTGTTGTCCCGAGCGGTGTCTTCTACTAATTTAGATATTTTCAAGTTGGTGTTTAATTTTCGTTATAACAAAAATTGTTTGTATATACTAAACTAACTCTCTTTACTACCATGAAAATTGGGACCACTTAAAAATTGTAAGGATACGTAAAAATGAAAATGGTAATATTATTCGTTTCCTTATAAGTAAACATTTGGCATTCATTTACCGATCAGCCAGTGCTACGCTCGGTTGCATCTTATAAAACCTTTCTCCAAAAATATTTTTTTCAGGAAAAATTTAAGTAGCTGTTATAGCTCTTTGCAGCATTGATGGCGGCTCCCATCTTAAGTTTTTTATTTGAAATAGTGTAAAACGTCAACATATTGATTGTGTCACTATTTTCCTGACTATACTATTACTTTAAATATAGGATTCTATTTATCTTCTGTTTAGAACATCAACATTTTGATTATAATATTTGTCGTTTTGAGTTACATATGAGATGCCTTTTAATTGTTTTAGTTGTTTATGTTGATGAATCTCCTGAAATATTGTGCTTTCTGTTATTTGATACAATTATTTGATACAGTTCTTTAATTGGGATTTTGTAGCTCCAGTCTACAACAGGATGGTGTTCGGCAAGATCCACGTTCATCACGCACTCAAAGCTTGATATAAACCTTGCAAAACATACCTTTACACTTATATTCAATGGAATATATAAAGGGAAGAATTGCTGCATAGATAGATAGATCCCGCTGACTATATTACTCAGCAGACATTTAGAAATCTTGATCTGTTTCGTGCTATCGTTCCTCCTATGTGTCAGTGAATGATAAATAATCTCTCTACAGACGAAGAAGAGAATTGAAGCAACAGAAATGTGCTTCCACAGAATAATGCTAAGAATGAAAGGGGCTGAACATGTGAGCAACGAAGGTTTAGGGAAAATGGAAACACAAAAGACACTTATAGATAGTTGAAGAGACAACTGAGATTTCTAGCGCACATAAGGAGGAAAAGGGGCTTGGAAAATCTGATACTCACTGGACAAATTGAATGCAAACGGGACAGATGAAAACAACGCATAATCTAGCAATATTGAGTAAATGGATGGCGGATCAAGGTTGAGAAGTGAAAACAAAAATCGCAATATTTTAAGATCTACAACAGACAGGAAATTGTGGAGAAACTTCAACGCTAAAGTCATGAATGGATATGGTACATAGAATACGATGATTATATATATATATATATATATATATATATATACTTTCATAATAAAACATTATTATTTTTTTTTAATTTTTCAACTTTTTCTATATATACATATTAAGAAAGTATGCTATTTGGACCCTAGTTAGACAGCAAAAAACTCCACGATAGAAGAAAACTAGAAAAAAATTTCTACAAACTGGCACAGATAGAATCAGATATTATATTTCTCGGACTTTGCAAGAAAATGGACTTAATACCAAAAAAATTCCGATTTAAATACAATTTCCAACATAGTTTTATTACATTGCATAAACAAAAAGCCCAACATATATACAACAGAACCTCCACGCAATTAAGAAACCTTGCGCACAACACTGCATACATTAAATATTTTTACATGAACTTATCTAAAAAAAATCAGTTATTCTCTCTGCCTAACACTTTCTCCTTTTCAATACTTTCAAGTAAAAAAATATTCAATTTCCTGTACAAAAAAAAACTGACACAGTGTATATTTTTGAAAAACCCAAAACTCAGTAAACTAATTGTTGAGGACCCCATTTTACAACACATAACTTACCTGAATAACTATTTAATACAACAGATCCCACGAAGATCTCTTTATGTTCAGTACACCCATAATACCTCTGCTTTCAATCACATCGCTAACCTATCTAAATATACTCTCACCCAAGGAGAAACCTCTTTACTAAATAAAGGATTATCATTCTGCCCCTCACAACCACTAAACCCTCCAAACCTTTGCTACGATATGGAAAAATACCTTCGTAGACTCAAGCTAAAAGAATATTTCTCAGACAACAAAACTACTTCTAATACAGACAACAGCGCTAACCAATCATCCTCCAAACTTCCTCCTACGAAGAATAACACTATATGGACCCCACCAAGCGGACGTAACCAACACTTGGATCAATATGCCCACAAAGCCAGTCAACACATGGATAACTTCTTAAAAAACAAAGGACACCAGATAAAAAAATACAACTTATCCAAAATAGAACACCAAACCATCTATACTCTTAAAAACAACCGAGACATAATTACCGTACCAGCTATAACCATCTTAGACACTAACGACTACATTAAAAAGCAGAATCACAACTTCAAAATATCAGATTCTATGTACCCTTACCTCTAGACCCAACTAGCACATTCAAAACAGAATTATCACTTCTCACTCAGAACCTGAACTACAACATAAAAAATACCATAAAATCTCTTATTCCTGAGAACCCTAATACAGTAACATTCTACACTATCCCAAAACTACATAAACTCCCTAAAATCCTTTCAGAAAAACACCTTAACACCTTTTCATCCAACCCACATCAAATTACACAATCAAATAATGAAGAGAACATCTATGAAATTTCAAAATCCCTTAAAATCATGCCACCTAGTAGACCCATAATATCAGGCATTGGTACCCTCACAGAACTTATATCTGGGTACATAGACAATATCCTGAAACCTTTATTGCCTGACATACCTCGTTATATTAGAGACACTACTGACTTTCTCAACAAATTCCAAAACTTAGTCTACCATGATACAATCCTAGTAACGATGGCTGTTTCGTCCCTTTACACGAACATTCCACATTTTGAAGGAGTATCAGCTTGCTATAAGTTCCTTAGTAATAAAAAATTACCTATCAAATTACAGATATATGCCAATTAATAAATTTCATTTTAACACATAATAAACAAACAACAAACACTATTTACAGATTAGTGGCACAGCAATGGGCACGAAAATGGCACCTACTTATGCTAATATCTTTATGCACATTCTAGAAAGGAAGATACTAGACAATTCAGAATATAAACCATCACATTACTTCAGATATATTGATGACATTTTCTTACTATGGACTCATGGATCAGAAAAATTAAAAAACTTTTTCACTTTCTGCAACAACTTCCACAATACAATTAAATTTACCATGGAGCACTCATACACATCCATAGCTTTCTTAGATGTTATGATAAAATTAAACAAACATAGACTTTCTACCAGTCTATACAACAAACCCACAAACCAACATATATTCCTGCACTTTAACAGCTGTCATCCCCTTAAATTAAAAAAACTATTGTATACAGCTAATTTCTAAGAATCAAATGCATATGCTCAGACCATCTAGATTTTCTATACAACATTAATAACTTAACAAAACAATTCCTAAAATGTAAATACCCAATAAAAATAATAAAAGAAACACTAAATAAAACTATCCACATAAATCGTAACACACTTCTCACATACAAGAAAAGTAAAAACAACAATCGGATTCCCATGGTTTTTAACCACAATCAATATTCCCACACACTTATTCACAATTTAAAAAAGGATTACAAGAACCTCCAGTGAGACAAAAAGATCAAAGACATTTTCGATAAACCACCCATAAATGCAAAGAAACAATCACCTAACCTGTCGGCTATCCTTACCTCTACCAAATATCAAAACAATACAAACCAATCAGGAAATTACAAATGTAACAAACCTCGTTGCTTAGTATGCAAACACTTAATAATAGATAATGTATTTTCTGTACCCAACACCAATATCAAAATACACACACCTCACCTCACCTGTGATAGCCATAACATAATCTACTATTTATTCTGAACCTTATGTCCTAATAGTAGATATATTAGTGAATCTGGAAACAATTTTAGATTTCGTTTCAACAATCATAAACAAACCATACGTCAAAACAATCCTTATTCCCCCATAGCTGAACACTTAATCAATCAAGACACTCATTAGAAAATTGTAAATGTTTATTGATAGATTCTGATTTCAGTTCCACATACACACGCAGAAAAAAAGAAAAATACTGGATTTTAAAATTAAATACATATAAACTAGGGTTAAATAAAGACTTGGGTATTTTAAATCTTTATAAATATTTCAATAGTTAAACATTTTTTTAGATATAGTTAAAAAAATTTATTTTTTTAAACAACATCTAAAATATTATTACAGTTAAATTTACGTTAGGAATATTCGAACACAGTGGCGTTCCATATCACGTGACGTCCGCGTCTCGCGACGGACGCTACATGTAAACAAACAGTAATTTTAATTTATTTGTAACAAACAGTTATTCTGAAGAAAGATTGAGGCCAATCTGAAATATCAAATATATATATAAATAAATAAATACTTTCATAAAAAACATTATTATTTTTTAATTTGCAACTTTTTCTATATATACATATTAAGAAAGTATACGTGGCTTCTCATTATGCTATATATATATATATATATATATATATATATATATATATATATATATATATATATATATATATACACATTCCGAAGATCTAAAAGATAATATATACTCACACACACATCCCATTCTCAGCAACCAGTAAAACTGTCAAAATGACCAAGGAGGTTATTCTTATAGTCATGGATCTCCCATCCTCTATTTTAAAAACAACTTGAAAGAGGCCGTTTGACCAACACAAGGGCTGACCAAAATTAATGATACAAAACAAATGAATTCTACAAATAAAAGTTCAATTTCTTCAGAAACAGTAATTCAGTATTGTAGTTCACTGCTACTAACAAGCTCTAATACCTTTTTCCTGATGATGGCCATTGCTGGCTGAAACTAGTCGAGGAATCTAACTGAAATAATAAAACAAAATATAATTATATACAACCCAGTTTGTCTGAGAATTGTAATTTTTTAATATTTTTTATTGTTCAAAACATATATATATATGTGTGTGTGTGTGTTTCTGTGTGTGTGTTTCTGTGTGTGTATGTATCTATATGTTAGTCTAGGTTTATATAAGAAATAATTCATCCGAAATTGCTGAGATTTTAGTTTATTAAATTATTTCGTTGCTCACACAATGATTTTATCGTTATTGATTTCTTTATGACTAACAAAACCCGACGCCATGCAAAAATATATTGAAATAATATTTTATTGCCTGACTCGAAATCCGTCTTATTGAGTTTTCTCCACTTTTCATGGATGCAAAATTTCCATGTATATATTTTAAATATTATAGCAACGTCTTCTATTATGATATGCACCATTCGTCCTACAAGCTTATATTAAGAATTTAACTGTGATCTTTATATGCAACCATGATTAATCTCTTATGTACGCATATATATGAACTGTATACACACATTCACTTAAGCTTATTTATTCATTCATAACGCAGAATATTTATGGGAGATCATGATCTTACTGAATATTAATAAAATAATCATGATAGAAGGATTTCACACAGTGAAAACAGCTGTTTCCTTTCGTTCACCATCTCACAGCTGTAAACTTTAAAAGAATATAAAATTAGATTCATAACGGTAACAAATATATATATATTTGAAGGCCTGATTCCATCTCTCTCTCTCTGTCTCTTGTCTCTTTTTCTCTCTCTGTCTCTCTCTCTATATCTGTCGTGCACCCTCGGAGCGTAGTCGATCTTGACACTGCCCTTTCCTTTCATTTGCGGCTCTAAATAAATGGTCTCTTTTCGTTATTTCTAAACCCTTTTCCGCCATCCATTTTTTCAAGATCGTCAACTATGTCATCGGGTGTTGTCCTCTGTCTCTATTGTTCTCAGTCTGTTCTGTGAGTTACAGATTTTTCAAGCCATACTTCCTAATTATGTGCCCCAGAAATTTAAACTAGTCTATTCCTGGAGTTATGTATAAGCTAAAACCGCTTCGTTGCTCAACTGTTCAGTTTATAGTATCCTCAGCATCGTTCTTTAGAACCACATTTCTGTAGATTAATACACTGCTTATTTTTTTGCAATGCATCTTTGGCTTTCCCAATACCTTTTCATATTGCATTGTTACACATACCGTACTATATTAGAACATGTCCCAGATATTTAAATTTTTGTACTTGTTTTATTTTGGTATCTCAGATTTTTAATTTGCATTTTAATCTCATATTTTTCCTAACGACCATGTATTCTTTTTTCTTGCAATGTATATTTCTTTCTTTCTTTTCACTTTTCTTCACTAGCTTCCGTTGGGGGTTTCGTAGTTTTTATCCCGTGTCTACTTTTAATACTGTGTCATCAGTATATCTTCTGTTGTTACGATTGTGGCCGCCAATACTAAATCCTGGTAGGTCACCCAATTCTCTCAGAACTGCCTCGCTGCATAGGTTGAATAAATTCAGTGAGAAGGCACATCCTTGTTTTATAACATTTTCTATATTTGTATATATGTCGAATTTTCTATCCGTGTGCAGGAGGTTTACTGCCAGTATAGGTTACTGATTATTCTAATGTCCTTTCTAAATATATCAAAGTTTCTGAGGAGTTCAAACATATGTGTCTAGCATATTTTATCAAATTCCTTTGCATAATCTGTAAAGCATAGGTTCACTTCCTTCTGCATTTGTATTGTTCTTTATAATAACATTCTGAGCATAACTATCGCTTTCCTTGTTCCAGTGTCTTTGGCGAACCCACACTGTTCTTGTCCTATCTCCGGTCTGATTCTGCTAGGGACTCTATACATCACTATTCGGATAATGAATTTTGTTATATGGCTCATTAGGCTGATTGTTCAATTGAGTTCATATTCGTTTGCACCTAGTTTCACTCAGTTTAATCTTAGGCTGCCAGCATCTTACGATTCCGTCTGGCACTGCCGCATGGTTTTTGTTCAATATGCCTATTGCTGCTTCCACTTCGCTTTTTAATATTTCCGGTCCGTCGATATATTCGGTGCATTTCCGGTTGTTCACTTTCGTCTTGGAAGTGTTCTCCAATATATTCGTTCCATATCTGAAGTATTTTTACTTTCTCTAATATCATAGTTCCTTTGGATTTTATGCATCCTGTTAATGAACATATTTTCGTCTTGGCAGTTCTGTTATTTTTTATGCATATCTGCTTTTGCTGTGATACATATTCTTTCTATTTCTGCA